ACTAACATGAAAATATTTACATATATCTATACATGATCGACGTTCTTCATCAGTCATATCGGTTTCTTCAAGAAATTTTTGTGCAACAGCTTCTAATGCATCTTCAGGCCAACTTTGAAACCAATCAATTGTACAACAATTGACTAATGATGGAAATTTTCTTAAACGACTACGAAATGCATCACCAATTGGACTCATTGCAAGTACAATATGTAATTGATCTCGGCATCGTTGAATAAACATATTAAATAGAGATAATGGACTACCATCAGTTTGTTTTGCTTTATCTCGTTGTCTATATTAGAAAAATAAAATTCAAGATAATTTTAAAGAATTTGATATATTCATCGAATAAATTAATTTTTTATAAGAAAAATTCTATGAATATAGATTTAGAATAACAATAATTGATCTCTTATCGTCTGTGATTTTTCAATCAAAATAACGTCCGTAAAATTCTCAGACAATACAGAATACTTCATTAAAACTTTAATTTTTATATATCTTAAAAATCCTTAACTATCTTATTCAAATAAATACACAAGACAACAATGAAACATTATAGAGACAACGAACATGTATAAACAATACATTGATACAACATAATTTATATATTCGAAATACAAACCCGGATCCAGTTCTTTTAGCTTGAGCTTTTATCCTATATTATTTATATACATATTTTTTTTTTCTGTAGAAATACAAAAAAAAAAAATTTCAAAAATAATTTAATATACCTATCAAGTGCACGCATTTTATCACAAATTTCTGCTTTTTCATCAGCTGGAAATAAATTCGGTACTTCACCACTATTTAATAAATTATTAATATCTTCTAAAAATGATTCATCTTTAATTTGTGTATCACAAAATAGAAAAACAAGATGACTATCAGTTTCCGTTGCTTTACGTAAGGCACGTTTTAAATCTTCACGCCATTCATTCATCGTATAACTTTTCGATATTTCAACTTGAAATGTGTCCATTTCAGACATATGTGCAGCAAGACGTGTTAATGATTGTCGACCAGAACCACCAACACCAACTAATAATGCATGTGATCTTGGTTGTTTTATAATACGTGATATACGTGATACATGTTCAATAGCAAAACTAAACAAAAGAAAATATTGAAAAAATAAAAATTATAAAAATAATTCTTCATACCGAAATAAGACAAGATTCATTGGTTTTTTTGACATTTGATTAAATTCTTCAAGATATGTTTCACTAACTGTACGTAATTGTTCAAGATTTGTTACTTCTAAATAACGTCGTTGTTCATTTTTTGGATCACCAAAATCACAATAAATTAAACTACGTAAATTATCTTCAGTAACAGTACCAGTTTTTTCAATATCTAAATGTCCTAATAATTGATGAAAATTTTCACGAAATACTTCTTTTGAAGTTTTTATAACTTGTTCATATAACCATTTACGATCTTCATCATCAATTAAACGATCATAAAATACACGAAGAATTTCATGAATCCTATTTTAACAAAAGTAAAAATAAATTAATTGAAAAATTTCTTTCTTTCTTTTTACTCTTACCAATTACGTTTCATTGCAGCTGGATCTGGACATGATTCAGGATCACTTAATGATATACCTTGAATAACACGTGAAAAATCACGTAAATTAAATATATAATGAGATTTAGCTGGTGTTGGAAGAAGTGAAGCAAGTGCTGCTTTGTATACATTAAGTGTTGCTTGAACAATCATTGGTATAACAAGTTTAAATTGATCATTGAAATTTCTATAGATAAATTAATAAATATACTATTATAGAATTTTTGAAATAGAATAGATTAAATCGGAATATGAAACTTCTTTGAAAAATTAATTTTTATCATGTTTATATTCAGTACTCATACTTTTTTTTTGTATGATTTCAAAAAAAAAAGTATTATCTATGTATAAAAATCAGCTTATATTCGAGTAAAAATAGTGTTGTTTTAATTGAGTTCTTTTTTTGCCTTTGTTAACATAGGTATATGACACTATTGTCGGCACTAGAATTAAGTAGAAGTGGGTGTAAGACAAATACCTCGATAACGGCAATAGCTAACAATCTGAAGTTGTGACAAATTGAAAGAGTTTGTATTGAGTAAACGATTTCAAATGAATTTTCATGAAAACTAAAAACTTAAACAGAGAAAACTCTTTTGCTCTGTCTTGCTCTAATAACGGTCTGTATTATATATAAACTTTTCTCTTCAATAGAGCCGTACAGAGTTAAATTTTTCACCAGCATATATATTTTTTTTGTGCTATGTATTAATAAGAATGTCTATTTGATGCTTTTTTTCCTCTATTAAAACTTATTCATGAATCTATAAAGTAGTGTGTATTTTTTGTGTATTACATAACATATCAACTTCACTAAATCTTTTGAATAATAAAAAAAGAAGAAATTATTAGTTAAAGATTAATATTTCAAATTTTTTGTTTTTATTGATTAAAAGCCTTTGTATCTTGGATTCAATCGGATACTTAATAGGCAGTTTAAGTAAGCCTTGAAAGATGTATTGATTATCTTCAGAAAGAAATGGATTTCCTATCGTTTGGAAATGAATCTCAATAATATGTTTTGGTTCAATATATGAAGTGCTACTTATTCAAAGATCGAGTTGGGCTTTCCCAGAGTTTTAAATCGTTCGTCCGGAATAGAAAAACCTGTATCAAATATTAGAAATTTTTCTAACATTATTAAGTTCTATTACTTTTTTTGAATCTTAGTATTTAATATAAGAAAAAAAGAAAAGCATACTTAGCAGAAATATGCCATTCCATAATTTTAGTAAAAATAGTTGTTAATACTTTATCGTCAAATTCATTAATACCAAGTGTATTAAAATGACGTAGAAAACGAGCAGTTACTGCATTACGACCACCACCTACACAAAACAAAAATTATTAATTTAATTAAATTCTTATGATTATATTTACCTGGTGGACCCATAGCACAAATAAGTTGCATATCAATAAGACCAATACGTGATTGATCTTTTCGATCATACCAATTACCATGATCAAGCCATTGACGTAATAATTCAACTGGTGGCTATACAAAAAAAAAAAGATATTTAATATTTAATAAAAATTTTCTTTTTCTCTTCGTAATTACTTGAGCTCCATATTGTTCAACTTGTGGCATCTAGAAAACAAAAAAACAAATTAAATATAATAATAAAATTTTAATATACGAAAAAAAAAACTTACATTAAGATCATCAACAAAAACCACCTAAAAATAAAAAAAAAAAAAGAGAGAATTTTTACTTTTTATTATTAAAAAAAAAAACAAACAATAAACTTACGCATTTTTGTCCAACTGGTGGACCATAAACACCTTTTCTTCGTTTATCTAATTTAGACATAATTATATCTTGTGTTTGACTTGCACTTGTTTGTGCCGAAAAATTAATGAATATTGGTTTGTATACAGCTTTATCACATTTACGTAATAAATATTCAATAATATAAGCTGATTTACCAGTACCAGTTGGACCAACAACAAGTACAGATTTTTGATGTGTTATAAGCATATCAAGTAATGATGTAAATCGTACTGTATCTAATGTTTCAACAATAATTTCATTAAAAAATGTATCCTTTGGAATAGGTGGAACATTATAAAGTTGATATGACCATGGTTCCCAATATTGATTACCTTCTTCAGCATCAGCTGGTTTTTCACGATTAGCTTCTTCTTCCTAATAAAAAATAAATAAGATCTACATATAAATAAAATCAAAACTTACTGATAGTTCAGATATAAATTTATAATGATAAATTGTTAAATTTTCTGGTAAAAGAGCTGTATAAGGTTTTGGTGGTGGTGGAACAGCATCCAAAAGACCAAAATCTCGTTTCTCTTCATCATTTATTCCAGCTGCAATTATTTTACGTAAGAAAAGATCAAATTTTGCTCGGCTATTTGTATCTCCTGTTATACCAATTGACCATATTAATGCAAAAAGGAACATTCCTTCAATCCATGTAAAAACTTCTTTAGTTACATATGATGCAAATTTTTTAGCATCATGAAATTTATCAAATAAACAATCAAGTATATTCATTAATGAACGTACAAGATTTGAATCACTTGTTGGTGATAATTCTTTTAAACCACCTTTACGTAAATATGCTATGCATGGATCAATAAAACGTTCAAATAATTCAACAATTAATTTTTTATGATTTTCAGTTAATGTTGCTGGTAAAATATTTAACCAAGAAGTAAATACAGGTCGCCAACCAAGTGATGCTGGTTCCATATAGATCATACCACAACGTGAAACCTTAATGAGATAATATTTTAATTAAAATATTGAATAGGTTTACGATATTTTCTAGTGAAGTTAAGATTTTCATTTATGAATTATAAAAATATGAAGACTTCTTTTTTTTTGGGTAAATGACCGTCAACCATAAGATCGAACAATAGAAGTTCTTTTTATTTTTTTTTTCATTATACTGCATACATTTTGGTGCAGTGTTCGATGCTTCTTTGGAAATCGACTTGACCTTCCTGAAGTTTATGGTTTTTGTACTATGTATTTGTGCTTACAAAAAATACATTCTTATCATTTCGGAGTTTGAAATCATCTTTCCGAAAGAAAAAATCTGGCTAGAACATTATTTCTACGAGTCTAAAGGACGTATACGTATTCGATGGTCGTCATCTTACACATTAAATGGCTATAAGGTCAGAGATGAACGAGTTCGAGTCATGATTCGGACTTGAAATTTGAATTCCGTTGACTCGACTTATTCATTCAAGAGAGAAAAAAATTTAATAATTCTAACCACAAGGCGGTGAACTATATAAAAAGTTACTGCTACTATGATAATTTTCGAAAATCTCTTGTGTTACTGTCCTAAATTAGTACAATTCGATGGAATCCATCAGTCGGTTGTGGCAACGCCACCATAGACATCTCTGTTGTTCATATAGAAAATGAAGTGAAAATTTCAAAATATTTTTTATTCTTTTATATAACCAACTTACTGTAGCTGGTGATGCTTGTTCAAGATCCATAGGTTCAAAAAGTAAATTCGTTGTTTTTGCTAATTGAATAATTTCACCACTATTTAAACATAATTTTTTATTATCATCTAATACAGTATTCATATTCTATAATAAATAAATTTTTTTTTATTAAGAACGAAATGCATAATTAGAATAAACTTACTTCAATCCAAATAGCATCGACTGGACCTATTCAATTAAAACAAAATAGATTTATAAAATTTCCAAACAAAAAAAAAGAACCTAGTTCTTACCATCAAAAATTAACCATTTACGATCAGGTGTTGTTGATACAGCAAATTTTCGATAATTAACAGCTAAAACACCATCACTCCATTCATGACTTACAGGATCAAATTGACCATATAATTGACCAATTGTAACTGATTTTGGATTAATAACTGTATATTCAGCTTTATTTTCATTCATTTGACCCTAAAAAAAAAAATAAATATTTCAATAAAAAAAAAAAACGAACGAAATTCGATTATTTTTCTTATTTACTTTTTCATGAAGTAAAGCTAATGCTGCTCCTAATGTTCTATAAGCACTTGTTTTACCACCCATAGGTCCACCAACTATCATAAAACCATGTCGTACAATCATCATTTCATAAATTTGTTGAATTTTTTCTAAGAAAAATGGTGTACATTGTAAATTGGAATCTTTACATGCTTGTTCAACAGCAATATTCAATTGATCATAATCTGGTTTTGGTAATTTAACACCAGGAAATAAATCACTTGTTATACCCTAAGAGAATATTTAAAAAAAAAATAGAACCAAAAAATAAATTGAATATTTAATCTATTTTTTTTCTTATTTACAGCAAATAATGGTAAATCACCAGCTAAAAATTTCGGTAAATTAACATCAATAATTGAACGTAAAACAAGAATATCTTCATTTTGTTCAGGATATTTTAACTAGATAACAAAAAAATGTTATTTGAATCTTTTTCCCCCAAAAAAAAAACAAAAACTAACTTTGAGATTTTTTGCAGCTATCAAAACAGAGATAACAGCTCGCATACCATAATCATAATGATGTTGAGATGATAATTGTTCAGAACATAAACGATATGTAGCTACAATTTTAACAGCTAATGGTCGAGCATTTACAAAACCCGATGAATATAATTTAATTTCAGCAATCATACTATAATCCGGAACCTAAAAACGTAAAATATATTTTAAGTTTATATTTAAAATTATTTGAATAGTTTTTTTTTACCATCATAGCTACTGGTCGGAAAAGAGCCTAATGAAGTAAAACAAAAAAACTAGATAATTTTAATTATTATTAAGATTTTCTTTTACTTTTAAGTTATCTGGTAATTCAGATCGTCCAGCATAACCGGGATTCTAAAAAAAAGATTAAATTGAAATATTTATTTTAATTAAAAAACTTTTTTTTTTTAATTTATTTACCATTGTAATAAATGTAGCACAAGTTGGATCAAGTCTAATATCAGTACCTTCGAAATGAATCATATCAGCACCTGATGTAATACCTCGTTGAATAATTAAAATTTGTTGAGCAACGACTGATAATACTTCAAGATCAATACGACTAAATAAATTTAATATGATAGATAAGAAATATTAAATTTTGTGTTAAGAACTCACTTAAATTCATCAAAACAAGACCAAGCACCGCATGATGCAAGACCCTATAATATATATAAAAATATAAATTAATCATTTATTTTCTTATTTTTTAAATACTTTAAAAAATTTTCCCAATGCTTTATAATCCATAGCATCTGAACAATTAAAGACAATACATTGTTTAGCAACTGCTTTTGCTAAATCTTTTGTTGTTTCAGTCTGGAAAAAAAAAAAGGATATATTAATTTGATTTTATGAATAAATAAATTAATTTACTTTTCCCGTTCCAGCTGGACCTTCGGGTGCACCACCCAAATGTAAATGTAAAGCAGAAAATAAAGTACTAAAAATAAAATAAAATAAATTATTTAATATGAATTGTTCTTCTTATCATCTGTCTGTTTTTACCGATAACATCGATCAGTTAATGGAGTTATAACAAGACGAGATGAATTACCAAGATATTCATAACCATATTTTAAACTGGCATTAATCATCCGTGTTAATAAACTTTCATTCTAAATATAACAGATAAACATTCAATAATACAGTAGCAAAAAAAAAAAAAAGAAAAAATTTTAACACATTGATAACGATTTGATTCTATAGAATTACTGAAAAATATTTTTCCAAGGGGCATAACTTAAAAGTAATTAAAAATAAAAATGAGTCGAAAACTGGATTTAGGAGTATAATTGAATACTTCCATGAATAGTTAGCCATAAAAATCAACGATTGTCAAAAGCTCTTTCTGTCTATCAGGTTTTATAGTGCTATCTACTGTGATCATTTAAGTAAAAAAAAAAAAAGTTAAATTTAACAACTCAATGATGATGCTAGAATCAAAATATACAACAGCTTTAAATAGGTCTGTCACTGAAGCTATGACATTTTTCAGTATTTTCTCTCCTAACATCATTGTTTATTTGCAAAGTAAAACTTTTATGTGCTAAAATGATCAGCGTCAATAGCTTTATAAAGCTTTGTAGACAAATACATTTTCAGACAAACTTTGATTTTTATGTCTGACTGCCCGTCGAACACTATTATGTGATCTACTGGTGGACAACATCTAGATTTGAACAGAACCACCGTGCCCAAATCTATTTAGAATACATGCCTCATGATAATATAACATCCGACGCAAGTTTTACATAATGAAAAAGTGTTCGTCCCAAAATCATCTTGTTCGTATCTAATATCGTTGTCAGAATTAAAGAGAGATGACTGTAAACTCAATAATTCGACAATGGCAAAAGTCATTGACCTGCTGTTTTCAAAAATCAAAAGAAAAAACTCCGAACATCTTTTTGTCTGATACTATGTAAGACAAAATTCTTTTAAAACCTGAATTCTGTGATTACTATTTTTAATTAGTAAAAATATGAAAGTGAAGAAAACTAAATATTAAGAAAGAATATTCATACCTCCCAATAGTATCGTAATTGTGCTAACCATAAGAAATCATCTTCTTTTGAAACTTTTGCATCAACTAATGTTGTTAAAACATCACGTGAATGTACATCAAGTACAACAAGAGCTTCAAGTGTTGCACGATTTTGTTCCGATAATTTACCTCGAACAAGTTCAACAATTTCATTAATTTGATCATTATTTAATTGTAAATATGCTTCAAGTGACTAGAAGATAAATAATAATAATAGATTATTATTTTTAAAATCAATTTTTCTTCTTTTTTTTTTTGGTTTTTACTTTTTGTCCTTCTACAATTGATCGATGAATATGTTGTGTCCAATAGAACATTGAAACAGCTAAAACAGCTTGACCCATCCATGATCCAACCCAAACAACACGACGTCTTTTTTGATAATCAGCAATTGATTCCGATATAACTTTATGAACAGATGCTATCATAACGCCTTCTAATTCAAGTAGCCATTTTTCAACTTGACCACGAGCTTTAGCTGTTGAAATTATTTCTTTTAATTCAACAATTTCACCTTCACTGGATTTCATATGTGTTATATCAAGACTTTCGGTAAATTGTACTTTATCAATACCTTCAAAACATTTACGTAAATGAGGTTGAACACTAAAATTTAACAAAAAAAACAACATTCAAAGAAATATAATATTTTTTCTTGCGTTAATTATTACCGTGTTGGATCTTTTGTTTCAGATAAAATTTCTAATAATTCTTCATTTGATAAGAAGAAGAAACGAGCAAAGTAAAGACGTTTCTTTTCAAGATATGCATTAAGACCCTATTGAGAAAAACATGCATAGTATCAAACAAAAAAAAATTTCTTTTTTGTTTTTGTTTTTTTACTTTAAGAATAAGTTCTAATGAATCATCACTTTTTTTTAATTTTTCTAACATTTTATCAATTTTAACTATTGCTAATGCATGTTTATCTTGTAAACATGTTTTCATTAATTCACGCCATGTTTTATCAACTGATGCAAATCGACGACCTTCTTCAGGCATTTGTGCCATAATATCAGGACTACTAAAAATGGGTTCAAGATAAAGCCAATTTTTTTGTACAGTTAACCAAACATCAAGAATATCTTGAAGTGTTGTCATAACACGTTCCCAATCTCTATATTATATTTATTTAATTTATTAATATAATGAAATAAGATATTGAACTTACAAAATATCTTTTTGAAATGGACCAATATATGGTGAACCTTTCATTGTTTGAGTTTTAACAATATGATCATCAAGTAATAATTGAATATCATCAACAGCTGATAAAACGTACGTACCAGTTTCACGATATGGAATAATTGAGAATTCAATCTATATTTAAGAGAAGAAAATTATGAAAATTTCCAGTTATTAAAAACAAATTCAAATGAATTTTTTTTTTTTTGTATATTGAACATGAAATTCTTATAAAAAATGTTTTTTTTTTTAATATTCACTCAAGAAATGGCAAAATGAGTTTTTGATCTCTCTTTCTTCATAAAAGAAACTTACATTTAGCCAATCTTTTTTCATTTTTTCCATAGCTTTTTCTAATGAAAATTCTTTTGATGCTGCTTCACTTATTTGTTCAAGTTTAGGTATATGTTGTATAATATCCATTTCAATAATTTTATTTAAATTTGTATCATCATCAGGTTTAAATGGTTGTCCTATAATTAATGATATTTGTTCCCAATGACGATCACGTAAACCAGGATTAAATAATGTTTGTATTAGTGGTAATTTTTCTTTAAATTCTCCAACTTGTACACGTAAACGATTCGCCATTTTACGTGGTTGTGGATTATTATTAAATTGTCGTTCAAGTTTAAATAATTGTCGTTCATAATTACCAACATCTTGTTCAACTTGATCCGGTTGAACTTTATCTCTTGGACCTTCTGTCCATTCACTATTCAAATTAATAAGAGGGAAAAATACAAAGAATTTACTTTTCAACTTAATCTAATACATACATAAGTTTATTAGTAAATTCAACACCTGTTTCATATAGTTTCAAATAAGGTTGTAATTGATTTAATGTTTGTTGACGAAGTGGATAATTTGTTGCATCCCATTTGAATGAGTCTTCTTCAACATTGAATTGTTCAATCTATTTAAAAAAAAAGATTATTTGATAAGAATTTTTCAATTTTTTTTTTTTTTTTTGGGATTTAAAATGATTTACTCGTTCAGCAGCTTGTGTTAATTTTTGTTCGATATGTTGTGCTTTTTTATGATAACGTGGTAATTCTTTAATATTTCCCATTTCTTGAAGTTCTTCAACTTGTTTAGTATAATTTTCAAGTTCTTCAACAAAACGTTCACGTTTTAACTAAGAATATAAATATTCAGTAAAAAAAACAACAACAACAACAATAAATGATTTAAATATTTTACTGTTAAGGCTTCTTTAAATTGTTCTTCTTTTTCTTTTGCAATAGTTGCATGTTCTTCAAATGCTGCTGGCATACGTTCAATCCATGAAAACATATTTGTATTTAAACGTAAATCAGCTGGTGGTAATTCAGTATTATCAAGTAGAAAAATTAATTCATCTTTAGCTTGTACAAGACGCTTTTCAAGATCAGGTATTGTTTGAGTTTTAGATTTTGCTAAAAATGCTTTTATTTCCATTAATTCAGCTGTACTCATTGGTGTGCGTACGGCTTGTTCAGCAATACGTTCAAATTGACCAATTAATCTAAAAGATAATTAAAAGTGATTTAAAAAAAAAAGCAATTTCCATTATTTTATATGAAACTAGATTTTTTTTTTGCTAAAGTTGATTGGATTTGGAGGATGTACGTTCTTTTTTAAGGTTGGAAAGTATAGGTGACGGAATCTTTTGAATCTAGAGTAGGCTCAGCAGTCTTTATAAGAAGCTCACGAAGAAGTTAAAAATATGGAGGACGAGAAACGAATCATTTTATGCTATTTGCATAATGCTTCTTTTTTCTAATACACATTTTGAATTCCATAAGGTTAGTACAATGCAGAAAAACTTCGGATCTTATGTAAGCACCAGTGTTGACAAAAAAAAACAAAAGACACTCTATTATGAGTTTGCTTAGTTTGTTAAAAATGTTTCTTAAGCATGTAGACTTAGCGACTGAAAACGACGAAAATTTTCGATAACTTGCAGTTTTATCTAATTCAACTTTCTTGTAAAGTTCTTCTTTACTTGTAACAAAGGAGTACAGTTTCAAGTCATTAGCCCAACATTCACTCTTACGAAATTCTATTCTATTCGAATGCTAGAGCCTATTCAAATGGTGATGACGCTACAGGGGTATGGAGCTCCCTGGAAAATTTTGAAAGTTACTGCTAAAAGTAGTTCCACAGAATGATTGAGCCTCTCTGATCAACAATCCTAACGCTGTCGCCTTTATTGAGGAATCAGTCCTTCCCCGCAAAACATTCCTGTTCTTTTTAGCGTGCTTTAAATTTACTAAAACAAAAGTCTATCCATTGATTTGATGCGCGAACTTCTTATTATTCTATTTCTGACATAATCTTTCAAATATTTTTGTCTTATAAACTAATGTATTCTTCTATGCATGGAGCTGTTCTTTTGTCATTGGCTTTAGATATAAGTCTAATATGTAGCATATGAATGTTTACTATCGATGTACAATTGATAAGTTTAAATTCGATTTAAATGTTAAAAGAAAGAAAAAAAACTTACTCTTCACCCGAGTCTCGATGATCTTTAACCATTCGTTCAAGTAAACGATTCATACAAGCTTCTGCTCGTTTCGCTAATGAACGTATTAAATCATTACAATGAATTTCAAACATTCCACGACGAACAACTTTTTCCAAATTATATGTTATGTCTTCAATTTTTCCTTTATATTTTCGTACTTCTTGTACATAATCATTAAATGAACGTTCTTGATTTAAAAATTGTTCAACATCAGTATCAGCCTAAACGAAAACAAAAAAAAAAAATGTCAAATAAAAATTTTTCTTCAATAAATTCAAACCTGTTTTGTTATTAAAACAGCATATTGTTCAAATGTTGCAGCATGTTCACGTGGTCCTTCAAATTCTGTACGTAACATTTCACGTATACGTGCTTTATGTGATTCAAGTATTGATGGAAGTATAACAGGTATTAAATATTGACTGTCACCATGATTCTAACATAGAAAATTTTAATTGAAAAATTTGAAAAAAAAAAACAACAAAGAAAGAAACATACGGTAGAACGATCAGAAAATAATTTTGCTTCAATTCTTGGTAAATTTGTACATCTAGCGATAATTAAATCATACATTGAAAGAAAAACTGTTTCAAAATCTGTATATGATGGTTCAAATTTAATTTCATCTTCACTTAAAAACATATTAACAATAAAACCTAAACAATAGACAAAAGAATTCACAAGTTTTTTTTTTTTTTATGAATTAAATCGTCATACCACTATGTTCATAATTTCTAATTGATTCTGGTGGTGTTATAAGTAAATTTGTATAATCTTCAATTGTATATAATGTTATATCTTGCAAACATTGTGTCATTAATGTTGCAACCGTATTAAAAAATGAACGAAATTTAGGATCATCTTGACTTGGAACAATACCACGTTTATGACCTTGATAAAATATAGTTTGAATATCACTAATCCATCTATTTATAGAAAACAAATTAAAAATTATTTTACAAAAAAAAACTATTAATTACCGTTTAGCTAATTGTTCTCTTGCTGAATCCATATGTCGTTTACAAGTTGAATGAAAATTTGACAGTTCAATAGCATCATTTCGTTCACGAAATTCATCACAATCGATAACTTTTAATTTCCTATTTGAAAAAAAAAAATTAGTTTTATTTTTTTTTAAATATTAATTCACTTGAATATATTTTTATGCCACATTGATAAAACTTGTGCCATAGCTGGATTAATTGAATGAAGATTTTTTTCAATAAATTTTGTTGCTTGAACAAATGTTCCATGCCATGGTTTAGGTAGAACAGCTATTTCTTGACGATGTGGAAGAGTTTCTTCTTTAACTTTTTCTTCTGTTTCACGTGGATCGTGAAGAACAAAATCAACTATTTAAAAAAAAAATAGTGACAAAAACAAAAATTTATTATTATTTCAAATTTTTTTTTTTTTTTTTTTTTTTCGTTCTCTATTTACCAATTGCTTTTTTAACACTTAATAAATAATCTTCTTTCATTTCATCTGTAAGGGAATTAACAAGTGGTTCCCAACTATGTCGTAAATCATGTGGAAGACGTGAAAGTGTATCATTTATACGATGATCATCTAATTCAGCAACATATTCTGTATCAATACCATTATGAACATAGAAATGATAACGCTATAAATAAAATAAAAATATTATTCTAATAGAGAAAAAGAAAACATGAATATTCTTACTAAAATATCTTTTTCAACCGATGTTGGCATATCAGATACACCTGGTGTATTATCATTTCCATTTAGATATAAATTATTTAAATCATTTCCACCATCATTATCTGCATTTCTTTAAAAAATAAGACAAAAAACACAGATTTTTTTTTTTTTCTATTAACAGTGGGTCTTTTTTTTGTATTCTTGTCTTACGTAACAATGTCAACAAGAGCTTTACGAAAATCTTCACGTTGTTTTTTTGAATCGACCGTTTTACGATGTACAGCTTCAAGTGCTTTCGCATCAGGACTACGAACAGGTCCTTGAAGTCGTTTTCGTTTTGGATCGCCTAATAGAATAAGAATATAGAAATTTCTATTATTGCATTATGAAATTTAAGTATTCTTCCATTTTGTTTTATTTTATTTGATATGTTCTTGACAACCAATATTACTTATTGATTTTATTCTTTTCTTTCTAATCCGTTTGATGATATGTGTTAGAAATATTATTTACATGAGAAAATAATTTCAAATAAATATCTTATATGTCGAAATCAATACTTTTTTTTTGTTTTGTTTCTCTTAACAACAAACAAACATACGTTCAACAAGTTCTTGTAGAAATCGTTCGTTTTCTGTTGCTACTTCATTAAGTTTATTCTTTCCGGGAACAAATAATGGTGCTCGAGGAGTTGTCCATTGTGGCTTAACGCGTATTTCGGGTAATTGAGGTAAGAATTTCGCTGAGTCATGTGTACCCTTGCCTTTGGTACCTTCACCACGAAGACCAAGTCGATTCTGTTATAATGATTACGTAATACGAATACAAGACAAATAAATTCAAATTAACTGCAAAAAAAAAAGACATTACCTGTATATCGGCCATAATACTGTGTATGAATTTGATCAACACAGAAAATGAAATTGTATAAATGTATCTAATACCATTGTAGATGTATTTACAAGTTTGATTTCTAAGCAACCGAAGTTCTTCAATAGACTTTAAATGATAGTAAAGCATATATTTAAAAACTTTTTATATTGTACGAAATATTCTTTTTTTTATTAGAAAATATTATTTTGAAAAAATTTTTATTTAATTATTTTTTGTCGTTTAATGACATCTATTGAACAAATTTGATTGATTTTGTTTTTTTATTTTATACAATTGATGATGGATCAAACAATATGAAACAATCAATACAACATGTAAAACGTGTATTTGAAATTTTTTTCTTATCTAATTTTGTACGTTTATTTGTTGTTGTTGATAACGATGATGAGGATGATTCGGAATTAGTTCTTTCATTTGGTTTTATTATCATATTATTTGTAAATGAAGTTGGTATTGTTGTTGATGAACGTCGTAATAAATTTAATGAAACAAAACAAATATTATCATGACGAGAAATTATTTTACGTTGACATTTTGAACAAATACGTTGTAAACATATTGCACAACGAAAACCTTGTTGTAATAGAGAAAATTTTACTTTTCGACATGAAAAACATATATGACCATTAACAACATTTTTATATAAATTAAAATCATAAAGTAATGTTGCAAATTCACTATTTGTTTGAACATTTCTTATATGAGATAATTCATCAAAATTTAATGCAACATAACGATTTTTTTTAATTGATTGTTGTGTATCGATTGATGTTGAAAGAGAAGGTGTAATATCTTGTATATTAATATTAGATAACGATGATGATGATGAAGAAACAAGAATTTCATTACTAGTGAATTCCGTATTATCATCATCATCATCATCTTCGGTCAAAATTGGTTGAACACGTTTACGTCCAGGCGTCGACATCAATATCCTTCGTCTATTTGGTTTATTTGGCGCGAATCAGTAAAATGTTTTGATTTTACCATATGGATAGATAAATATTAACAGAACGAAAGAGGGTAAAAAAATAAAAGATCATTTTCTTGATAACATTCGTCCAAGATGCATGAAAACAATTAGTAATAAAATCTAACAAAAGTCCAAGATGAAATAATATCAGAAAGGCGTTAAATAGAAAATGTTACGCAATCATAATACACAATAGTCTATTGTGATCTATATGTATTTTTTCAATAGGTCGTCAATCTCATGTGTATTCGTAAAAAGTCGTTCTTTGTTCGAAAGAGAAAGATTGAAGATGTTGAATAATGTCAAAATAGTGGCGAATATTAAATAATTCTGGTTTTGTTTTCTGTATCAATAAAAACAATCATAATAATAATAATCATCTGATGTCTTGAATTTGACATTTTTTTAAAATTAATTGATTTTTTTTTCTGTCATATGATAAAAATCTTTTACATAGAATTTGGAAACATTATGATACTTAAACAGATTTTTATATATTCATTCCACACTCTAAAATACTTTCACATTTTACAAGAAGCAAAAAACACTTTATACAACATTAGAAATTTCATCAAGTCATTATCTCATATATATGCATACGTGTAAATCAGCTGAATTGTTCTCCCCAATGGCCAATCAATAATCTCTCATCAGTCATAGTTTCAATTGTCTGATAGATTCGAGTTTTAAGTGCGAAGAACATGCTTATTGTTCATCACGTTTTTTTTGTGACGATGATGATAAATGTCAAAGAAGTAATATTCCGATGAATAGAAACATGTGTTGGAAGCAACCAGTTACTCTTTTAAGTGCATTTTTTTTTCGGATACCAATATTGACAATACATCAATGTTCGAGTGTCATTTATCCGTAATTTGCATAATCTTTGGTTTTAATTTAAGATTTATAACAAACTGTATTGATTGTTCAAAGATTTGTGATGAGTCATCTTGCCTTGATCGAATTCAAAATATACATCCACCATGGTTCTTCTTTCCGATTAAATCGATATTATACGAACATATTAGATTTATGTACAATTCGAGTAAATTTGATTCTACTGGCAGGAAAATTCTGCATTACGTGTGTGACGACGAGAAGTTGTGTCCTAACAAATATTCAGGAACAGTTTAGATTCTAACGTTAGCATGCATATCTCTTCTGATAGAATTCATCTAAATACTTGGTCTAAAGTCTTTAATGACTACTTGAATTCAATCAAGTTTAAAGAACCTCAACGCTATTAATACAGAGTGGAAATAAAAATTGTCCTAATGT